ATATAAATATATATATATATATATATATATATATATATATATATATTTTTTGTTGTAACAAATTAATGTCAACAATTCATTCTTATATATTAAATATAGATATCACTATAGTGCAATAACCTTTTCAGAGGTTTCCTTTAAAGATAGAATTTCTTTTTCTTTTGTTTTTTAATGGAAGGATTTAAATTTTTTTTAAAAATTTTCTTATTTATTTTGATTATTATTTATCATATATTTTTAAATTAAATTTAATAATCTTACAACAATTTATCAATAATTAAAATAATTTTGCATCACAATATAAATAATTTTTCATAAATATAAAATATAATTTATATTTCAAAAATATATTATATAAATTTAAATTAATATAATCTATACATTAATATATATATATATAACTTATTATAAATTTAATTTATATATAATAAATATTTAGCATGTGCATCGTATTTATTAAAATACTAATTTCATAATTTACACTTATATCAACCAACCTTCAAAAGGTTCATGTAGTTTTGAGTAAACAATTTGAAGTCATATACAATTGCCTTAAATTTAATAATGTTTTATCATTAATGTTTTAACATTATATTTCTTAGAGCAACTCTGATGGGAGTTGCTTGTCCCATGAAATAACTCAAGCTCTGGTTTCTTGTTATTGGACGACTCTGACGTGGCAACATGAGTTGGTAGAAGAAGAGAGAGAGTTGTTTCCTCAAGCAACTGTTCCTTACCAGATTTCAAGCAAATCTTGTTAAACATATTTAGGAACGTTTTGAAAATAATAATAATGAAAATTAATTTCGTATAATATTTATGTATTTACTATTGCTTTATTTTATTTTTAATATCTACTTATTGTGCATTTTTTCTCGTAATTTATTTTCTTTCATTGTAGTGCAATTATCCTTTTTAATAAAAATTTAAATTTGATTCATAAATGATTAGAAAAAAAATTCTAAAAGTTGAATTTCTTAAAGTTTCTTACCATTGAAGTAAATTTGTGTTTGAATTACTTAATACTGACATAGTACACTGAGAACCACTTTTTTCATTTTTCAATCATGAAACAACTCAAATGAGTCGCTTCCATTTTACAAAACTTACATATACCCAAAATGTGTTTAATCTTTCAAAGAATTAATGAATTAACAAAAAGTATAATGAATTTTAATTAAACAGCTTCCACAAAAGTAAGAGTCAATGTTCATGTTCTGAAAGGAAACTTCCAATGGACAAGACACTTCATATTCATTTGACAAATAAAAATTTAGCTATTAAAAACATCAGCTTTAGTTTATTTTATTCAAGCCTTCATTTTTTTTTTTGGTTATTCTTTCCATTAACTCTTGTAACTTTATATTTGTTAAAACTCTACAATCCTTTCAAATCTTATAAACTTTTAAAATATAAATCCATTAAAATTTAAAGTAAAAAATCTTGATTATAAAAAATCTTAAAATGAATTTCATAAATTATTATTCATATGTAGTCTTTTAAAATCCATTGCAAATTAGTCATTTAAAACCTCAATCTCAATCTATTACACTTCATAAGTAAAATATTTCTCCATTATTTTTTTAGTAAAAGAAGGCCACCTATTAACCTAAAAACAATTTATCCGTACGTTTTTTTATTATTTTTATAAAATTGTATAAAGGAATTTTTATAAAATTGTATAAAGGAATGCCGAATGAATCTAAATTAATCAAATGTGATTAATCAGTATGAGAAAGTTTAAAACCTTTAATATCAGGGAACTTTGTTCATAGTGGATTATGACAGTAGAAATAGATGAAATATTTATACGTAAATATAATTGAAGAAATTATCTGCCACACCACATAGGCAAAAAATTGTGCATAACATAATTCAAGTTAGCAAACCCAAAATTGTGAAAGCTTAAATCATGTTGTGTGGAAGTTTGAACGGATACAAATACAACACAGTAATCTCAATTTTGTGACCCAGAATTCGGTGTTGGAAAAGGGGCTTGGACTTTTAGCCTCCAACAATTTCAACCAGTTAACTGTCTCATCCGTTTACTTTCATGCTTTGTTTATATCTTCTGAGGCAAAACATTCTTAACATCACAACTACCCATAAAGGACTTGCAACATTTTCTTAATCAGCAGATGCAATGGAAAACATGACTAACAGGATTACTGCACAACTAACAACTTCAGGATATTAAATGTACTCTACAATACATCAACAACCCTATACCAGGGAGTGAGAGAGCAGATGGATCGCAAGTAACTGCACAGAGACTAAAGACTTAACCAAATTCAATTCAGTAATTCTCTACCCTGATCTGAAATAAAATACAATGCTAAAACTGTGCAATCACATGAAAGCAAAAAGTAATTTACCCATGCCCATTCAAAGCCACATTCTACCTGACATATACAAAAAAAAAAAAAATTAGGAAAGGACTATAGGATTGACATGTTACGCAGAGAAGGCAAGAATGGTCACTAACCTTTTATACAAAGCTTTTACATCCTCCCGTAACAGTGGACTTTCAAGAAATTGATCACCACACTCATTCACCTCAACAGCCTCAACTTCAAAAGCTCGATCGCCACAATACTCGTTCCATTCAAACCACATTTTTGATATTAATTCCTTCTTGAAACAAGTAGTGTGATCTTCCTCTTCAGGAGAACCAGCAGCTACCAATCGATACACGAAGACTTTCTTCTTCTGGCCCGGTCTGAATGCACGACCAATAGCTTGGCGAGTTACTGAAGGATTGAGATGAACGTCCAAAATAATTATGCGGGATGCCCCAACCAATGATATGCCCTCTCCACATGCCTTGATTGAGCCAAAGAAGACTTTGGCGTCAGGAGAATTGTTAAATTTTTCCATTGACCATTCTCGTTGCTCAGAGCTTGATTCTCCTGAGATTACAAAAATTTCTCTTCCAAGACTCCAACCTTTCCATTTCATAGTCAACCTTTCTAAATATTTCAAAGGTAACAGATATTGACTGAAAACCAGAAGCTTCTCCCCTGCTGATTCACACATGTTTAGCATGTTGTAATAGAATTTTGACTTCACACCATCTCTCATATCTAGTTTCTCTATCAAATCATCCATTATATTATCAGATATAGAATTTTCACATTTTTCTGCTAGTGGTTTCAGTTTAGGATGCAGATAGACAGCACTGCCTACAGAACTTATCTTGAACTTTCTAGATAGCCTTTTTAATTTATCAACGTCAGGCTTCTGTCTAGGGTTAAGAGTGAGCACCACAGTAAAATCAACAAGACCAGGAAGCTCATCAAGAAAATCTCCTTTATAATAGTGAAGTACCTTGCTCGTCATCTCACGCAAATCTTGTATAACAGCTATTTTCCTTTTAAAATCCTTATCCTTTTGCAAAGTGTTTTCAACTAAATCATAGAAGCTTCTCACACCTGGTATATGAACTCTACTATGAATGCGCCTGACAATAGGCCTAGATGTTTCCATCTTCAAAAATTTAGGCCGAACAAGATTTAAAATGTTAAACACCTCCCTGACATGATTTTGATAAAGGGTTCCTGACAGTACAACTTTTCTAGGCGTTTGAACTTTTGCAAGGGACTGTACCATATCTGTGTTTTCATTCCTTGGATTGTGTCCCTCATCTAAAATAAGAATTGAAGGAACCTTGAGTAAAATCTCTTGGCAAGATAATGATAAACTGTTGGACCCATTATCACAGACAATAGAGGAGAACTGTTTGTATCCTAAGAAAAGGATACTTTTATGCTCCATCCATTGCTTCAACACTTCTAGTTGTTGACTTCTACTATCTGCCTTCACTGTGTAAAGGTCATAAAGAGGTATGTCCTCCACTTGCCATGTCTGAAACTCCTTCTTCCATGTTGACAATATTCCCTTAGGAAGCACCACTAAGGGTCTTGCACTAGGATACTTTCCTAGAAAACTTTGCATGAAACTGATTATCATGAATGTTTTTCCAGATCCTGGAGCATGGGCCAAGATGCAGCCCCCAGGATGGTCACCCGCAAGATTTCTAACAAGAAAATTGAATCCTTCAACTTGATGGGGTTTCATCTGTTTCATGTGTCTAGGATGCGCTGATAATTCAGTTAATACAAGGCCATCTTCAACAACATTAATTCCAAATATATCTCTTTTTTCTTTGTTATTCCATGAATCAGACGCATAAGTTCTTGTGCTCCGTTTAACCTTCAACAGAAATAATATATTAATATAAAAAAATCAATTTTGAACACTTCCTGTTCCAGCAATTAGTAATCTACTAATTTTAAATCTTAGTCCGGAACATATATCATGAGAATTATGAACTATGCGTTCTTTTCATAAAGCAATTAAGCCCATGTGATATGAATGTCTACGTGCTATTGTATTATTTTAGTTTATTCAAGACGTTTGTGCGTCCCTTTAAGAAATTATGAATTAAACAAAATAAACATTTTCCAGAAATAGGTATGGAAACCGGTAAATTATCACAAGACTTTTATTAAAACAATTAGTATAGAAAAATTTAACTATTCACTTGTCATATAGTTATGCTCTGTTCAAACATTCAACCAGTGCATGTAATTTCAAGCCCCATACTTGAAAACATAATTTCACACATTCAATAAGTTTTACAATCATGGTTTAAACCAAAAAGCATAAATACAGAAACAGGAGGCTAACCTTGTACTGAAACTCAAATATGGTTTCAATTCCTCGGTCAATGACCCCACAAACGCGACAAACATAACCAAGATCGTCTTTCAAAACAAAAGAGTGATCACAATCATCATCTTCTTTCTCTTCTTCATCTGACGGAAGATTCTCAGAAATATCCTAGTGGGGATACAGTTAAACTAAATCAATGCAAAAGGACCTCTAAAACTGCTATTTGCAGGTAGAATTCAAAATAAGAAACAATGTACATAAAAACTAAATTACTATGACATGTTTACAAGTAATTTCCTAAGCAGAAAAGAAAGCGCATGTGATATTTACATTTGATGGGAGCCTTACATGTTATATGCATACAACAGGTATAGAATAGAAATATCAACCGAGAGAGTATAATAATGGCAGCCAATAAGGATAGTTGTATGCCATGATGCACAAGGTTTCAACACAAAATTACATTCAATATGCATTTTGTGAACTACAATACTATAATATGCAATACACATAAATAGCTGATACTATGCTTGGCTGATAGAAATGGGAAGACCATTTTCAGTGTTCATCTATAAAAATTTTAACAGTTGTCTACATAAATCAATGAATTATCTAGTTAACAAGTAACAACCCCACTCATAAAAGGAACTGTTATAATTCTATCTATCAATTTATTTTTCCCACACTGTTTTGCTATAGTTTTCCCCCTTTTCTTCATAAGAAAAATGTGATGTCTTGGAAGTCCTCAACCTAAAAAGTAGATATCAAGGAAGCAATACAAATTAAATGACATGAAAAAAAAATCATCCAAATGAACAGGAGATAAAACATCTTGGCAGAGACAATTATTATTATTGAAAAATAAAAACAAATTAAAGTATGATACTTTGGAAGTTTCTATTGCCATTGACATCTCCTTCCAAATATCTTCTAGACCATCATCTTCAGTTTCAACCTGATCTTCATCCTCCTGTACACCAATATAAGCACCTTTATCGCTCCTAGCATTACCTCTACCAGTCATAACTTTACCAATCATACTTGTCCCAATTTTTAGATCTTTGCTTTCTCCCGGGTAAGGAATGAGAGTGTCATACCCCTAAAATGCATTGTTACACATAAAATAGTAAAAATGTCAGTGGGAACAACTTGCATTAAAATGAAGAAAAGAACAAAGACCCAACATCTTCTCATAAAAGTTGCTACAAATTTAAATCCAAATACACAAAAGCTTACAAAGGAAGCTACCTAAATGCAAATTTAGTAATTTAAATTAAAAAAAAAATACACAATATGTTCTGAAAAATAAATGGTAAATCTCCTACATCAAAACCCATTACTTATCTTTCAACATTAATGTGTGCATAGTAGGAGTATAGGAAAACAAAAATAGATAGAAATAGCACATCATTTAGATAAAACATAAATCCAGATACATCCATTATTTTAATTTTTCATTTTCAACCTTATCACTTGTTCAATTACCAAGCACACAGTAAATGACCAAAAGTATCAGAAATTTCATATTGCATCAGAACATTTGAGTTTAGCAAGACATCCAATGATTACAGAACTAAGACTAGGTGGCAAAAAGGTCACATTCCTGTGAAGCTTAGTCAAGGTATTACAATGAAGTTCTTATTTTTAAGAGGGCTATGCAGAGTTAAGAAAGTAGGGGATTGAAATGAGAACTTTTCACATAAATGCTTCATGCTTCAAAATTTTACTAGTCTTCAATACATTCATCTTTAATGTTGTAACTCATCTGAGCCTTTGTACAAAAAAGGAATACTGATATGTTGAAAGAAAACAAGCTAACTTTGAGAATTTGATACAATGGTAATCACCTTGCTATAATTATAAATACAATTGAGAAAATGGGTAAAAATATAAACAGTTAAATGGAAAAAACTACAGCAACAGCCAAGAGAAATGCAACATAATATGCCAAAAAGTAAATATGGCACATGTTAGGAGTCCCACATTGAGTAGAATAAGAAGCTCAATATGTTACTTAAGCATATGAGGAGAACCGAACCCAAAAAACTAGTCCATTAGGTTGGAGAGTCTCAAGACTTAAGAACCACATTGAGCTTCTTATTCTACTCAATGTGGGACTCCTAACAACACAACAACATAATATGTGGTGATAACATAATATGCAAAAAAGTAAAACATATTGCATGAGTTATATAAAGATGATGGGTATATAAAATAAAATAAAAAAATTATCTTTTAGAACAATATAAACCACATCTCCAAAACAAAAGAACATGTTATAGCTATAGCTTCTCCATCTCCAGAAGAATCTGATTTTGTAAATATTCAAAAGGCAAAGCAATATATTTTTGAAAGGAACAGAATTCAAGAAAACTAATTCAAGAAAGACAATGATAATTTTACATGAATCTTTGCCACGACGTTGCAATGAAATGCTACAAGTCTGTCAAATCATCCCTAAAGGGAGCATGTTACTAATACATTCCAGTTCCAGATAAAAGCTCATGCATATTAGTATCCATTATTTCAATGCTCATATATTCAAAGGGCAAAGCGATACATTTTTGAAATGAACAGAATTCAAGAAAACTAATTCAAGAAAGATTCAATGATAATTTAACAAGAATCTTTGCCACGATGTTACTAGGAAATGCTATAAGTCTGTCAAATCATCCCTAAATGGAGCATGTTACTAATACATTCCAGATAAAAGCTCATGCATATTACTATCCATCATTTCAATGCTCATATATTTAAATAATTACAAAAAACATTGAAAAACTGGAAAACTTACAATCATCTTCAATGCAGGAGATGGAGCAACTAGTCTCGGCATTGGCAAAACAACTTCATGATATGGAACAACAGATTTTTGATCTCTATCCTCTTCCTCATCTGAATCAATAATCACAACAGGATTTGGCGCTGCAGGAACATCCTTCTTAGTGTGCTCCCCCTCCAAATATATGACATTTTGATTTGTCAAACCAGTAACTTGTTGATTTTCCAACTTAGGAGTTTCTTCATCGTTGTTTGTTACCACTTTCAATAATTGATTAACAAGTACAGGATATTTTGCAAAATAAGGGCCCAGTATTTGCATTTTTCGGGCCGTAAGGGCCTCTATGTCCTTTGTGACACTCCCAAATTTTCCACTCTCTAAACGATCCAGAACATATGAAATTGCATATGGATTGCTGTATTCAACAACATTTGAATTCTTATCATGTGCTGGGAATGGCAGGCTATCACCTGAAAACTTCAGTCTTTTGTGTCTGTCAGGGCTAGGGGAAAATCCTGGTTTCGGAAAATGAAACTATACTCAGTGAAACAATAGATATTCATTCCTTCAAGTTTTATATATTATTAATGAATATTGGGCAAAGCTACATGATCCACTGAGTGCATGCATCGTGAGAATAACACAAATACAATAGCCAAACCAAATATTCTCAAGGTTTATATTATTTCAACTGGATTCAAGTCTGATACTACACAGAAAAACGCAGTTTCAACTCCAGCCAGCAACTAATCAAACTGAATAAATTCAAAATGTGAAATAAAATGTTTGAAGTCACCATTTTATATGTTAGCAGGAACAGTGTTGTTAAACAGCCACTATAACAGCACAATAACACTATTGCGTTGCAGAATTCTTTGGATCTGCAATCAAGACTCTGTCTCTATTGCAGCCTCTATGGTGTCATGTTTGTTGCAAGGCTTATATACTTCAACTGGATTCAAGTGTGACACTACACAGACCAACGCAGTTTCAACTCCAGCCAGCAACTAATCAAACCAAATAAATTCAAAAGGTGACATAAAATGTTTGAAGTCACCATTTTATATGTTAGCAGGAAGAGTGTTGTTAAATAGCCCCTAATGCTATTGCTTGGATCTGCAATCAAGACTCTTTCCACTATTGCGGCCACTATGCTGGCATGTTTGTAGCATGTAACCTACATCTTCTAGTCATCTCTACCAAGTCTCCAACTAATTGAACTTTTGAGTTGATATTATGTCAATTTTTATGCATTTTTTTTATTTGCATACAACCTACATTTTCATACATGAATAATTGATATATGTCATATATTTTAACTGTAACGCGACTTCCACTATTTGCCCGAGACGCTATCAGCGATATGATATAGCATATTATTGACTTTCCACCATTTCCCGCTATCCACAATGATAACACTGAGCAGGAAAGATTGTTTCCCAAGCTGAATGGTGTCTACCCAACCAATCAGAATATGCTGAGTACATTCACTTATCAACTACCACTGGATTTTCAACCCATCCTCTCCCATCCTATTTGAACCACATAAGGTGATTATGGCAAGTATGTCCATTTCTCTACCAACACCAATACCCATCATTTCACAAAGACTGACTCAAAAATCATTTTGTCTATGCAAGCATACATCACTACTTCCAAGTCAATCGATGAACAGCCATGACTGACTGACAGAGAACCTCTAGCATCACCAGGCAGTAACAAAAAGGGTTGAAACACATTACCAAAAAAAGGGGATACATATGCAGACCCTACAAAGTTACATTACATAATCTAGGCAATTGCAGAGCACAAGTGGTCTCACAGAACATCATAAACTACACATAAAGTAACACACAAAAAATAAAATAAAATCAGACACTGGCAATTCACATCAAATCCTAAAATTAAAGAAAACAAAAAAAAAAAATTGACTATTACGAATCAAACTGGTCAAAGGGACATAACTTTGGCTCACAACATGCAAATGATCCACCAAGAAAAGGGAAAAGATAAAAAGGAAAAATGGTGCCGAAAATGAAAATATTGTACCTGGTGATCAACGTCTATGTCAAAATTAAAATTAAAAAAATGAAGGAAAAAAAAAGAAAAAAGAGAAAGAAATGATGAATATACCGTTTGGAAGGGAGCGTTTAGCAGCTAACACATCAACAGAGGACTCCATCGATAACTGTCAACGAAATGATAAAAAAAATAAAAATAAAAATTATAGGTATTGAAGAAAGTTAAAAAAAAAAATATAAAAAAAAAACTCTTCTATTTCTTTTATTTTTTTCCTTTGAATAAAGATTTTAGAAAAGAAGAGAATGGGGATTACCTATGTGAGTGACGAAGAATGAAGAAAGAAAATGACTTTGAGAATTCAGAGTGAAAGCATGGAAGAATTTGATGATTCCATTTCAGAGAGTGAGTGTGAGAGTGACTCAGGTTTTAACAAACTGTAATGATTCCGTGTATCGCAGCTATATAGCGTTCATGCAGTGGTGGGTGCAGAAATCACGAGTTTTGATTTGCTGTGACAAATTGGAGTGGGCGTCATAGGCTCAGCCACGGAGATGTAAGCGAGTACCTTTAGCGACGAATTTCAGCCGTTGATCAAGATTTTACAAATTTATTTTCCTTAACAAAAGATTCTACAAAATTTAACCATTAGATATACGTGGATCATGATGAAATTTTTTAAGACAACCTTAGACCGAATGTAGAGGATACGAGCTAAAAAAATAATAATGTTATATTCTCTTTCGACTACCTTTCTTCCTTCCTAATAGTTGAGTTTATGTAATAAATTTTCTATTTTCTACAAAATAGTTTTTCAAGTTTTTTTTATTATATTTTTACTTTTAAGTAAGAGATAATTGGAAAAAAAAAACTCTGTATTTAATTTTTTAAATGGTCGGTAATAACTAAAAAGGAATAGAACTCTTCTAAAAACTGATGATTGATAATGCCTAAATTGTATTATTTTTTTGGTTATTTATTTTAAAATTTAATTTAATTTTATTATATTTTAAATAGTTTGATTTGTTCTTTTATTAGGGTTAGTATCCGTACAACGCACGAGATTATTATAATTTTTTATATAATAAATTATATTTGATGATAATTTGATTCTTTTATTTTATAAAAAAATATTTTATATTTAATTTGCATGCATTTTATAATAAATAAAAAAGAATATTGATGAAACATATATTATAATAATTACAATAAATTAATATATTTTTTAATTGAAGTTTTTGCAATCATATTAATGTTGAAGATATGATGGATGAATAATATTTTTTGTCAAACTTCCACACTTGACTTGTTTAGTTTTTATAACTTTGTGAGATAAAATTTAAATAAGTTATTTACACTAATACATGATTGTGGTGTTGATATGATTAATTTCATAAAATGTTAATATATTTGTTTAACAAATTATTATGTAAGATAGTTAAAAGTATTATAATAATTTAACAATGAGTGTAAGTATAGAACATTGGTACTATTTTTTTAAAAGATAATATTGATATTTTTTAAGAAAATTAGAAGATTAAATTAAATAATTTATAAATATTAGGACTCAATTGAATATTTTAAAATGGAGGAAACAAATTGAATAATAACTTATCTAAAAATATTATTTAGACAAATTAAATTTTCTTTGACATATTTAATATTTTTTATTAGATTTTTTTATTTATAATATAATTTTAATCTCAAATACTCAATTTATTTTTTCATAATTTTCTTATAGTAATTAAATTTATTTTTATGAATCCTACTCAATTTTAATTCTTATTTTAAAAATTGAATTGGAGGATGCAATTAAATTGGTGTGACTAATAACCAATACGATGACTAGTCCATTAACTCAACTTTATTTTGGCTCATATTATAATCGATGATTATTTGTTAACTAATCATAAACTAATAAAAAAATTATAAAATAAAAATAAAAATAAAAATATTTTTATGTGCTTATATGTTTTAATTTAATCTAATAATTTCAAGATAAATAAAAACATTTATTTTAAAATTACAAATGGATAAAAATTATTTTGTTGATTATTATTCAATTTGATTCTTATATTTTAAAATATTTAATTTAATTCTACTATTTTTAAAATATTTAATTTGGTAGTCTAATTTTAAAAAATATTTAATATTATTTCTTTAGTCTGGTATCATTAATTTAGATGAAAAAATAATATTAAATATTTTTTAAATTAAAATGACAAATTAAATTATTTAAAAATAGTAGGATTAAATTGAATTTAAAAAATAAATAAAAAAGAACAAAAATATAGTTTAACCATAAAAAGTGTATTTTTGGAAATAAATTAACTATATTAATATTTTAAAAATATAAAAATATATTTAATACTTAACATATGCGAAAATAGGAGAATTTGGAGTAAAAGATAAAAAGATGTGTATATGCATCAATGTTATAAAGATTTTTTTAAAAAAAGTTGTTATCAAATTAAAAATTGTCATGTATAATAAATTTATTAAATATTACAAAATTTACTTACTTAAAAAGTCATACATACTTTATGTGTGATTATTTGAGAAGGTAAATACATTGTTAGTGCATTTAGCCATTAAACTTGAAGAAAAAAAATAGGATAATTTTTTTTATAGAGAGGTTTATCTCTCTGTATTTAATGTAACTCTTCTTTATTTAAATGAATAAACTTTTTTTTAATATATTAAATATTGTATTATAGAGAATTGATGAGAATCTCAAATATTTGAGTCCATAGTTACATCAGCATCAGTAAATAGATTCTAGTTTAGATTTTTAATATTTTTTGGGAATGGCAAAATGACCATTACCTTCCTAAAAAACTAAATAATGGAAGCAAATACTAAAAATAGATACGAGGGTTTAAAATTTATTTTTAAGTCATCAATATACTTATAATAATTAATAATAACTTTGAAATTTTTCTGAAAACTAATGGAACACCTTATACAAAATACCGTGGTTAGCTACATAGGCAAATCAGAGACATTTATTATTTTAACCTGAAATGTTTTAGAAAAAATAAATTAAGTCTATTTAGTTATAGAAAATTCATTTTGAAGAAAATTTCAAAAGAAACAACTAATTATTTAACAAAATTTTAGTTTATTAAATAATTAGTTAGTCTTTTAAGAAAAATAATTACTCTAAATGACTGAAAAAATTGAATATTGGACTCACCAAACTGACTTACCTAGACATCATAACTTTGTTCGATTGAGTAAGATAAATCCTTAAACTCTTCATGGCACTCAACTAAAAGGATTGTGAAATTTTTTATTGCAAAAAATTTTTGAAAAAAAATTACAGAAATAGACCAAGGACACTTTATTTGCAAGAATAGAATTATTTTTTGTAGTAACTTAGAATTTGGTTCCCGAGAAATCGAATTTTATGTTGCTTTTTTATGATTCCAATCATGAACCCTATTGAAATTCAATCTTCGGGGATCCGAATTCCGAGCAAGGGATAAAAAATTAAAAAAAGAAAGAAAGAAGTGTGTGATAAAATAATTAATGCATACTAAAAGAGATGGATTATAACTACACAACACTTAATATAAAACATTTGTAGCTAGTCTAAAGATAATCCATAACATAACCAAAAAGATTAAATAATTATACCTGTTTAAAAAAATGTTGTAAAAATTATTGTATAGATAAAAGAATTCTGTAGACAATTTAGATGTTTAGTTCCTCAAATTTGGAGTGAGATTTTTTTCTCCCAAACTTAAATAATATTTTGTAGTTCTTATATTAATTTTTTTTTTATAAAAAAATTGTTTTAATTTTTCAATTCACCTACAACATCAATGACATCAACATTTGAATAGTTGTGTGATGATAGTCAGGTCTGATGTAATAATTTTATTAACTAAAACAATAATAAAAAAAA